CCCGGGGTCCCTCCCCCGGGATCATCCCTTCTCTCCACCCGCTCGCTGCGGGTACCACCCCCATTCCCCACGCCTCTCCGCCCCCCCGGGGGTGCGGTGGGTGCGGTGGGTGCGGTGGGTGCCCCCCGGGCCGGTCCCGCCCCCGGGCCGGTCCCCCCGCGGTGCCCGGGCCGGCCCCGCTCCCCCCGCCCGCGGGCCGCGGGCACTGCGCAGGCTCGGCTCGGCTCCGCACACCCCATCATGGCGCTGCGGCGGCCGGAGCTGCTCCGGCTCCTGCTCCTGCCCCTGCTCGGTGAGTACCGCCCGGCACAGCCCCCCCGGCACCGCCCCGGCACCCACCGCCCGCCCCGGACCCGGGGGATGCGCCGGACCCGGACCCGGCCCGGGCAAAGGGAGCAGGGATGCGCTGCCCCCGTCCCGATCCCGGGAAACAGAGGGAGGAGAGATGCGTTACCACTGTCCCGATCCCAGAGAAAGAGAGGAGGGATGCGCTGCCCCAGTCCCCATCCCAGGGAAAGGGAGGAGGGATGCGCTGCCCCCGTCCCCATCCCGGAGTAACAGAGGGAGGAGAGATGTGTTGCCACCGTCCCGATCCCGGAGAAAAGAGAGGGAGAAGGGATGCGCTGCCCTGGTTGCGATCCCGGAGAAAGGGGGAAATGCGCTGCCCCGGTCGCGATCCCAGGGAAGGGAGGGAGGAGGGATGTGACCCTGGTCGCGGTCCCGGGGAAGGGATGCGCTGCCCTGATCGCTATCCCGGGGAAAGGGGGAGATGCGCTGCTCTGGTGGCATCCTGGGGAAGGGGAGGGATGCGCTGCTTCAACTCCGTACGGGTAAGTGCGGGGAAGGATGCGCTGCCCCGACCCTCGCCCCGGGGAGCGCAGGGATGCGCTGCCCCCACCCCGGGGGGATGCAGGAGCCGTCGGGATGTGGGACGGGACGGGGCTGGCCGGCACCAAGGACCCGCGGGGAGCGTGGTGCTTCAGGGACTGTGGGACACACACACACACACACGCGACACAGGAGGAAACATCCCAAAACCCAGCTCAGCAAGGAGCGGGTCCAGGGCTGAGGGTGCCAGGAATGTGCAGGCTCGGCAGGCAGGCAGGGCGGACACTAGTGCCTATTCAAGACCAGGCACAGGCGCCTATTGTTCGGGGGGCCCCGCATGAATGTTTGCAGTTTTAATTGCAAAAACATTTGCTAATTCCGCTCAGGAATGAGTTTGGGCTCATTTGTTGTCTGGCTATTAATAGCTGGGGGGATGAGGAGGGGGACAGCAGCCGGTGGGCTCGTGTGTCCCTCCCCCCTGTCCGCCCAGATGGCAGGAGGAGAAGATGGGATGGAGTGGGGTTGGGCTGACAACCAGCCCCTGAGTACCAAAACACCCATAACCCGTGTACAGACTCACCAGTAGCTGTGTTGGGTCAACTCAAGGCTGAAGTGTATTGAAATATTTCAAACAGTTTATCTAAGGACAAAAAACAATTCTCCAGTGACGCCAAACAGAGCCTCCCTGGGCCTCAAATAAAGTGAGGTTTGGGCACTATTCCCCAAAACAGTCGGTGGAGGGGCAAGGAGATGACTGTGACACTCATCTGCAGTGAGGAGATGGTTGTCACGCGCCCCAGGGTCTGGTGTTCATTTGCTTTGCTGTGGTTTGTAGCAGAAGCAGTTTCAGCAGGAAAAGTCGGGAGTGCCTGATCCTGGAGCATCACACAGTTCTCTCCAGGTGCTGACTCTGGATTTGGCTTCTCCCTTTGAATGGGATAAACGACAGACTTGGCACAGCTTTTCCTCACAGCTGCAGGGTAGAAAGGTGCCCCGTTTCCTTCCTCTGTTATGCTCAAGTGTCCTGTTGAATCCAGCCTAGAAACTCTCCTTGAATCCTGGAAACAAACTACAGATGTTTCTACATTTCTTTAGAGAGACAATAGTTGCTACAAAACAGCCAAACACCACTAGTTTCACACCTCTGCCTGAAAACATTTATCTGGTGAGTAAACCAAGTGGTAACAGGATTTACTTTCCATCAAATTTCCAGTCAAATCAAAGTGCCTCATCCTTTACTGGTTTAGATTTGGGCTCAAAAGTCCCAAAGAGTGGGCAAAAGTGAGGCTGAGAATAAAAAAGTGTGTTCCACTACACTTGACTTGAGGTGCTGAGGACACCCCATTAAGTCAGGGTCACACTGTCAGCAGTGTGTAAAATTAAATATGTACTGGAGACTGCAGGGCTGGTGCTGGATAGTGGGATGGGAGTGTGACTGCAAGGATGTGTTTGTGCCAACTGGCTACTTGGTGGGGGAAAAAAAAAAAGGCATAAACAGAAGCAGACAAAGCTCACAAGATGCTGAGATCCCAAGCTGTCAAACTCTGACCTGCTCTAGACTCTGAGCTGCTGTTTTGACTCCAAGTGTTGTGAGCTGGGGTTGCCTCCTCCTGTGTGTTATTGCCAGAACAAACCCTCTTCTTGATAGTGGCCTTAAAACATTGCCATAAAACGGGAACCAGCGAAGCGTGGAGCATTCAGTCCATTCCCAGCTCTAGGCACTGAAAGCATCTAAAGATTCTGCACATCAGGGAAATGCCATGGTCATAATTAAACCAGAGGAAGCTCTCAGAGGCAGCGATGGAAAGTGGGGCTCACAGCTGATATCAGTGCTGCCTCCTACCTTGAGGTCTCCTGTTGCCACCTTCCCTGTGGAAACAAATATTTGGATTTTGAGGATTTCACGGGCTGTGGAGACCTTCCCAAAACCTCCAAATATTTCCCATTGAAAACAAAACATGCTGATACTTTATAGCCCTCGATGGGGCGATCTGGCAAGTCCCGGGCACATTTCAGTTTTAAAGCTCATTATGTTCAAATCTCCTTTCGATTTAATTCTGAGGGTTCAGTAATATGTTGGATTTTGCAAAAGGCTTTTTAAAATCTATGGAGTAGAAGTTCTCATTTCCTTTTTATTTTTTTTTTATTTTTTTTAATATATGAAGTCCATCTGTCCCAGCCACCAACAACTGTTCCGAGTCAGCTGTCGGTGCCAAGAATCACTCACTGGAAATGTTGTTAGCTCTCTTGCAGTGATGATAAGTTGCTTGTTGGTATTTTCTGATGGGAAGTATTTGCAGTATTGCTTTCTTTTCAACAGGCAGTAAAAAAAATCGGGACAAATAGCTTTGAGAGCCCTGCCAAAATCAGATGCTTAATAACATCTTCAAAAAAATTCCTGGGAAGGGCTTGGTGTTCCTATTTGGGTAAGCAGTATCTGGCATGGCCACCAAAGAGTAGTTGGATGCACATCTCCTTTACAGCTGTTGACAGAAGAACGTGACACCAGCACATTCCCTCTTGCCCTGAATACTTCTGACAATTACTTGGTTGAAGCAAGTTCAGAGAGTAAAATGTGTTTTCTTTAATGAGGAGAAAGAGCTGTGGACTGAGATGTTGCTCTGCTCGTGAACTTGGGTTCTTTTACTGTTTGTTTTCACTGTACAAGTTGAATTCTGGGTCTCTTGGCCCCGCTGCAGCTGTTTTTCAGTTATCTGTCCTCACACTGAGGATTTGCACCAGGGACACGCGTTGAGCTGCCAAAAAAATCACCTAAACAAGTAAACAAAGTGGAATGAGCCGCTACATTTAGCTCCACAAACAAGGGCAAAAGCTGCTCTACCTGAGGGCTGTGCCAGTTTACCCCTAACTCTAGTCATCTCCAAAGGGCAAAGCAGTGATTAGCCCCCACTTGCTTCTGCTTTCCTTGCAGCTTGCTTGGATTATTATTTAAGTTTCTCTTGCAAATTGGGCTGGCTACTTTCTCATCCTCTGCCATGGGTGTTTGTGTGTTGAAGCAGAACTGGCCTCCCAGTTGTATATTTAGAGCTAATGCTTCACAGTTGATTGCATCAAGCCCTGATGATCCGGAGAAGGTTCGTGAACTCCTCACTGAGCCAGCCTGAAGTGGTGGGAGGGAGTTAGCAAAGGGAATGATTTCCACAGGCCAACAGGATCCTGAGTCCTCAAGAGTCCTTGCCTGCAAAACAAGAGTGAGTGTTGCCAGCATGCCCCTCAACAAGATAAAACCACTGCTCTGTGCAAAAAGCCGATGGCCTGCTTGGAAACTGCTGTTTATATTAAAAAAAAAAAAAAAAAGAGATGAATTCGAGATTACAAAACTAATTAGGATAATTACATTCTCAATCTGGCTTCTCCATCGACTGGAATATGAACTGCACCATCTTTTCCCAATTGATAAGGGCTGGTTGCCTTCCCTCTGAACCCCCAGGGAGTATCATGTTTTCATGAGACACAGGATCAACACCAGATTCAACCACTAAATCTGTGCAGTGGAGGAGTGAGGGTGTGTGCAGCAAAGCCCTGAGTCAGGACATGGCCCAACCACCACTTAATGGCTTTAATTGCACTAATGAGTGTTCTGGACACGGGCTGAAATTTCACCCAAAGGGCCTGAGTTGCTGCTGGGTGCAGTTCTGGCACTTGGGGCAGAGGAAATACCTGCTGGGTCACAGTTCTCCAGCTCCCTGCTGGAAACGAGAGGTTTCAGTTTCAGAAAAATAAATAATAACACAAAAACTGAACTTTTTTTTGGCCTGAAAGCTCAAGTCTTTGTTTGCTTCTGACCCTGCAGAGCTCTCACACCCACAGCAAAAAAACCCCCTGAGATGGGAGGTGTTATTTGGAGAGTTTAATTCTTTTCTTTTGTAGAGACTTACCAAAATACATCTGTGGGGAACAGGACAGCACTCTGTGGACTTCACCAGAATGTTGGTCTCAGGGATAACCAGCTCCTCACAAGCTTTTGCTTCTCCTTTTAGAGGTCAGGCAGCTTCCTTGGGGAATAAAGGTTGAGGGAGGTGTATATTGGAGGTGTTTCCTGCACAGGAATGGCCAGCTGAGGTCCTGTTAGCACTTGGGTTGCCTTCCTGCATTTCCTACTCTAAGGAAGCTTTGTGTGGCTCCTGTGCAGGAGCTCAGCTGTCCAGCACAAGGCCTGGGAGGGCAACACCAAGACAGCTGCAGAACAGGGCTGGTGTCCTGTTCTTTAGAGCAGCATCCTAAGCCAGGCCTTTAAATTTCTTAGAAAAAAAACCCCCAACATGCAAAAAAAGAGGTCTAGAGAGGCTGTTCCTCTGCAGATCTTCAAGCTGTGTTGGGTATTGAAGGAAGTTGCTTTTGGTGCCTGTTCCAAACCAGAAAACCAGCAGAGAAAAGAGCAGCAGAGGCAGAAGCAGAGCTCGTAAATGGGAGTTGGCGAAAAAAATAAATAATAATAAAAAA